ACCAAGTAATCCTCATTAACAGACTTCTAAATTTTATTGAGAGTTTCTATGAACCCACACGTTTAATCTGTAACAGCCTATTAATCAAGAGTGGCCAAGCATGTCCTATTGGGTAATCAGTCATTGATTCAATTACAACTGGTTACGATGTGCACGCCGACTCTATGGTTTTACAAATGTATTCGACTGCTCCGTGATTGTCGTCTGCTCCGACGCTTCCGCCAATACTCACCTCAAGAATATCGAACTCCATGTACTTTATTCCGCAAGTTATATGGGACAATGGAATCTTGTCTGTCTGAATGAATGATATTTATGGAAATGCACGTTTCAGAATAACCAATATGAACATAGCAGACTTAATTCGTTGCACATTCCTTATCACAAGAGTGTGTGTCGTAGTATGCAAGGTGAGGACCAATGCATTTTGTACTAATGCATGTGTATATGTGTTGATTAATCATTTCTTATGTGTATTACAAGATATTTTAAAGTTGGCAAGGTGCGATTGTACCATTCGGCGATATTCTGGACGTAATAAAAGTGTCCGATGTAATATTTGAAATTTCCAACCAATAGACAAATACAATGTACATTATTTCACTTGTTTTAACTTAGATCAACAAACACACGAATTATAAATGTAAAATTAACAAATACAGGTAATGGTACTACCAGAAAAATCCTAAATTCTGCATATAGACAAAACTAGTATCTGATGAGTAGAAATATCATTAAATAACAAAAGTACATGGGAAAAAACATTTCTTGGTATTTTATGTATGCAGCAATAATACACAATCTGGTACAACGAGGCGCTACATGATTTCAAAGAAATTACAGAAGAGTTCAAGTAAAATTGAAGAGTTTATGTAAACAAATACAACCAAGAGTTTCATACGAGCTTCTAATGAGAGCAATTCGTGTTGATAACACGATGATAGTCACGTGGCCATTCAATATAACGCATTTCCCCGATTGCGTAAGAATTTATTGATTTATTTTTGGATGCACTCAATTGTGTTACATAGCGTTATGGGGCGACCGTACCTGGAAGCACTACTCAGCATTCAATTGTTTTTATAACACTGATGTTGTCAAATTGCTTAGTACATGCGCGCTTGAGACAGTCTAAAATTTGTTCTTAGCATTACTGCTATCATGATAAATTTGCTTTCAGGTTTTATCTATGGCCGCCGAGATATCGTCGAGAGCGAGAGATTCACGAGACTCGAATCGCCCCACGAGTAGTCTTATATTCTCTGTACTTGTCACGTGACGACTAACGTACTACGAATTTTGGAACAGTGGACGCGATCACGGAAAAAAAATGAAATATTTTCTAAGGCGAAAAAACAAACACGTCTAGTTTTTCCCTGGACGAGACACTGATGACCATTTGCTAATATGGTCTTTTGAGCGACATGTTTCCTCATCCTCATTCTGTCATCTACGTGTAACTGGGCCGCCAAGTTGAGAGGCTTGACGGTCTCGTTAGTATGTTGCACCAATCCACTCAAATACGCGGACAAGCCCGATCAAGTCAAATCAAATCATGCAACATTACATTCACAATGACTACGTCGTCCTCCTTTTATCGAATTTGACCATGACCAATTGTTGTTATTTAAAACATGTTCAAATGCTCCTCAAGATAACTGGATTATTCCGCTGTTGTGATGCGATATGCTTTTTTACATTTATATTCCGACTTTTATTGACGTGTTTCCATGGTATTTTCATCACTTCACCGCGAGAAACATGACAATTCATCGAACACTCGGAAATAATTGAATCGTATTACTTCAAGATCGAAAGAATGTAGTTATCACAGTTTCCCATCTAACGTATGTCGTTGTCATAGTAACAAAAAAACGATGTTGTCATATTGATGTCATTAACCCGTGTTCCAGACAAGAGGTCTGATTGTGACTGATTACAAATTATTTGATTAATTGTTTATTGTAAAACCATGGTTCATCATATCTCTGATCGTGCACACCCGTTGAGCGCTTTAGATCATTTTAAGACGATGGGGGGGATATTGCACGTTTATTGTTATTTTAAAAGTTAACGACGAAGTTAATTCTTAGTTCATCCCTTATATAAATATAAACTGTCGGGCTCTAATTAATCCACTGAGCTAAGTAGAATTTGTTAAGATCAATATAGTCCTTTAACATTATTATAATCCTAATACAATCCGTGAGATAAACATATTTCTCTTAGCTCAATAGAATTCAATGAGATGAATATAATCCACTCGGCTTAAAATAATTCATGAATTCAAAAGATCTATTGAGATCGATAAAATCCATTAGTTCAAACTAATCCTCTGAGCTCATTGCTCGAATAAACATAAGTCATTGAGCTCAATATAATCCCATAGGCTCAACATAAAAAAAATGTACACAAAACAATCTTAATATAATCCATGTAGTTCGATGTAATTCCCTAGTTTAAAATAATCTAGCTCAGTTTAGCTCTGCATAAGCCACTTAATTTAGTATAATCCCCCGACTTCGAAAATTTCATTAGCTCAGTATAAGCCACTTACTACAATTTAATCTCCACTGAGTTCAATATAATCCACCGTTCTCGACAAGCTAGTAAGTCACCACGCTCATCATAATCCACTAGCTCAATATAATGCAATGAGGTTTAATGTATGAACCAAATTTTGTGTAAATTGTTGTTTGTTCCAGACACAGAGAGTGCAGTGGTGTATTAAACCTACTCATAATTTTTGAGAAAGTTGGTCATAAATCGCTTGACAATGTTCAATGGTTCAATTTATTAAAATAGCATTCTTTTGTGTGTTACAGTAATGAATTTTGAGAAACTTATTTTTAGAACAATTGCATAGAGCATAATGTTAAGCAACACTTGTTTTCGACACTTTTTAAAACCCCGATTTTTGAAATAATTCAGGAAAACAAAAAGTATCCCGTCATTAACAATATATCATTTTTTAGCCTATGTCACTAGCCTACAATTTCAGATATGGCATAATATTTCAGCCTTGGGAACCAATGGTAAAAAGACTATTTTACTGCCACAATGGTCAGTATACACAAAAATACCGTCAACCACCATTTTCTCGAAAATTAAGCTGGTGAACCCCAACTTTTTTTAAAGTAAATATTAAAATTGCCCGCATAAAATTTATTAAAAATGGATAAATTCTGGGTATTTGAACTCATGAGCAGGCTTCTACCTTAGCAGGTACAGTGTTTATATAACACGAACTGACGCACCCTTTGCCCATATACTATAATGCAATTATTATATAGTTAATGAATAGTGTGGTCGTCGATCATCCCGTCGTTAATGTCTCAGTGAACTGATATAAATACAAATACAATTGTATCACAGTGGCCCACAGAATAGGCGATAAAACGATATATATTGGTTCCTGTTACCCGGCCACAAAAATAAATGACCTCAATGCGAAGGTAGCCGCCCGCGTTAAGTGTACCAGCAAAAAACACACAAACACACACTCTGTGTCGTAACACGGTACGACAAGTGGCTAGTAAACACTGCTATGAGCAGTTTATCGAATGGAATATACTCACCGGAAACTGGATAGGTAAAAGATGTGACAAAGTGTGGTCAGAATGAGACAATTATTTATTTGAAGTCATGTATGTAGATCTCTGGTTATTTTATATAAATATGGTATTACTATCAGTGTATGGTACATTTTACATTTTTTGGTATAGTGATTAACTTCCAATGTGGAATTACTGGAGAATGTTTCCATAGCCGTGCAATATACTCGTCTACATATCTATTATGGTGTGGTTACCATGGCTACGGTATGCATAGGCGTTTTTGTATAAAGTATGCAGTCACCTTAAATAATAGCATGTTTATGGGGGCGGGAAAGGGCCCGTAAACCCGATGCCAATTTCCAAAGAGACTGAATATTCAGTTGACATCGACAGAAATTACTCCATCAACATTTACTGTTTTCTTGTTTGGAACTATTCAAAACAAATACAAACTATCGTAGCTGTGATTAAATTATCGTCGTTGGTCACGTTTACTAAACAGCTCTCTAACGATTAGTAACGAGTTCACATTTGAAGCCCGTTTTCCTTAGCCTAGTTTCAAACAGCCTGAGTCTTGCGGCTTATTTGACATAGTTACCCACACCGCTGTCAAAAACTAGAGTTTCTATTCAAACGATGCCCGAAACGTGGTCTCGACGTACCAGGCGCTGTTGTGGATTGAGCACGCACGTGTTCTACGTCTCGCCTTCTTCAATAGCGGTATCAGAAAAAGTTGCCATTCAGCTGACTGATGGCTATTATATTTTAAAATTTTCCCATAAAGATTACATTACATCTTTAAAATATGGATGTTTGTTGTTTGATAAGAACGCCGTTATGAACAACGTTTTACTGCATAGGGTAATAAATACAGACGAGAACGTTCTGTCGTAACTGTGTGGTAATTTTGAAAATGTGTTACAATGCCTCGTAAATAACTTTCAGTTTAAAGGAGAACCCCATGTGTCACCTATTTTCACTATATTGTGGTAAATCAATGTATAAAATGAAATAACATATTTTAAACAATTACAGATTTAAGCGTACGAACATAACTAAAAATTAAAGCGCGGTGGTCGTCGCGCAGCGCGTGTTCGAATTCCATGTAAATAAACAATGTATTTTACACGCGTTGTATACGTCGCTATGAGTCCCACATCGAACAGGACGCGGCACGACGACTGCCGCCCTTTAATTATAACATATTCGGTGTTTGGCGTTCTTCAAGTCGTAGCCTTGTTAGTCAACGTGAGCCGACTACGATTAGCGATATGATTGGCCCTTGGCGTTTTGTCTAGATCTGTGAATGCATTAATTTTTCAACCTTTCTTATGCAGATATATTTCAACAACTGTGCTTCAGTGGATATTATCTCTCTGTCGTTGTTATTCGAGAGATGGGCGCCATCGTGGAAAACTATCGATCATTGTAGATAGCGTGTGGATGGAACGAGCTTGGCTCACACACTTTGGAAATAGTCTAGGTGCTATGCATGAAGCAACTGGGCGCGCTGACGAAGTTCTCTTTACAACCACTAGTAGCGGGTTTTTCTCGTCTCATAATGGAGCTTCTAAACAACTTAGCCAGAGTTTCGAAAGCAATCCATACACCGCCAGTTGGACACCTGGTTCTGCGTCGACATGGTTTATTGGTAACAGTACGGTACAGCCGACGACGGAATTCCTTTTGCCGGAATCGCCGTACTCGTCTGGACTTATCATCATACTCATGACAGCGGCCGTGACGATTACGGTATTTGCGATCGTCGGGAATACTCTCATCATAGCGGCGTTTATAACCACTCGCCGTCTACGGAAACTGACCATCTATTTCTACTTCAGTCTAGCGATATCCGACCTTGCCGCCGGTCTACTGGTAATGCCGTTCATGATTTCTTTTACACTTAATTCATACTGGAAGTTCGGAAAGACAATTTGTGTGGTATGGCTGTGCATTGACATGTTCGTATACTCAACATCGGTGTACCACATGTGTGTCATATGCTTGGACCGTTTTCTGGCTGTCAAATATCCGTTCCGCTATCGCGTCAAAAGAACGAAAAAACTCATACTGACGTTTATTGGGGTTGCGTGGGGATTGGGCCTTGTAACCGAAGTGCCCATCACGATACTATACGAACACATTGTTGGGGAGAGCGTTATTGACTATCGGGTTGAATGTGACGTGGAGTGGGTAGGCAACGCGATCGTCACAATATGTAGCTTTCTAGTTACGGTCGTAATCCCGTTCTTTTTCATGTTAATTTTGTACGGCCAAATATTCTATATAATTCGTAAACGGGGAGAAGCTTTAAAGGCGAGCACTTTACGCGCATCTTCCGGTGAAACGAACGAAATAAAGGAGGACGCGCAATCAAAGAAACACTTTTCCGTGGCAGGTCTATTTTCTAAACGACTAAAAGCAGAAAAAGATTGTGGTGATGCGAATGAATCGAAATCAGTTGGTGATAAAAAGGAGAACAAATCTTCGAATAAAACACCAATTAAGTTACGTTGGACCTTCTGGCCGGGAAAGCAAAAAAGCTACGATTTGTCAGATATAGTAGCAGACAATGGCGACCCGGGAACAGGTTGTGTGGCGGCCGCCAAGTACAACAGAAGAAGCGATGAAGTTATACTATCCAGTTACGTAAACATCGGATTTAGTTTTGACGAATTCTCGACGGGTTCATCACAGGGTTTAAAAGACAATTGTTCTGAGCAGACCCCCAACGATCTCCATCAAATAACAAGCGACGAAAACGTGTCGCCAGCTTTCTATTCGAATCAGTCACTTGAGATCGAGTCTTCTTTAAACAATAACACCGAGCCGTCATCGGCAAATACCGTCGAAGAAAACACGCGTAACAGGGACAGAACACACCCCAACACGATTAAAAAGAAAACGGTTAATGAAACACATCACAAGTCATCCGGGAAGTCTCGATCAAGTGAAGTGAGGGCTGCAACGACACTCGGAATCCTACTCGGCGTATTTCTCATCACTTGGTTGCCATGGAAAATAACGACGATCGTGGACGCGTTCGCAAACACGTACACGTTTCCCGACGTTTGGTACGACATCGCTATATGGCTACAATATTCTAACTCAATGATAAATCCGTTCTTATACGTGTTCAGAGAGAAAAACTTCAGAATAGCGATTAAAAGAATCCTGTGCCGGGTATTTTGTTGCCGAAAAAACGCATCGTCATCTCCAGTTTATTCCACGGGGTCGCGTAGCTCGGTGGCAACGGTATCACGAAAGACCAGTCCACATCGTAAATAACATTATTTATTGTTATTTTATATAATATAATTTATGATATAACAGTACATTGTTCATAAATGCTTTTAATAATACATGAAATTCTAGGCGCTCGACTTTATCAGATTAAATCAATTATATTTCATCTCCACATTGGCATTTCCCACCTCCCATATTTGGAGCTCAATGAGAGAAGCGGAGTAATGAATTATAAATAACATATAAATGAACTAATAGTGCCATTATTGATTGCACAATTCCCAGTGCGGATTCCTCTCTTTATGTACTTGGTAACGTTAAACTAGATATTCACTTCAGCCTTGAGAGGTTTTGTCCGTTAAACATTTGTTCCATGACCGAGTACTACTCGTTAGTTGTAATTGTATTATTGGGTTTGTGAATTGTCGACATTTCTGTTCTTCAATAAAGTTATGAGTACGTACACGAATTGAATTGCGCAGACGCTTACCAAAACAAAAAAATGGGCACAAGTAGTGATAGTGGAAACGGGGGGGGGGGGTTCCAACCATTTTTTGTTGTGGTAAAACCATGATGCATTTGTGACAATAAGGCAATTTGTCGCCTGTATTGATACACTAAGAGGTCGAATTTTTCATTAGGTTATCTGTTTTACAACAACATACGCCATTCCACCTGATATAACAGCCTATATATTTGAGTAAGCTGCATCGATGTGTATCTCATTCGTTGCGTGAACAATCTTGGCATCTAATCCACGCACCATATACCCCATTCTGTAATATTCTGAATTTTCTGCATATAATATTTCGCCCGGCAGTGGCAAAAGATAAGCAAAACTGTAGATAATGAATTTTTAACAAATAAGGAGGACATGTCACAACATAAGCTGGGAAACTACATTTCCAGGCCAACATGTTAATCCATAATTAATGGATATAGAAAAAATCTTGATTAGCTTCTGGCTTATCTATCTTAGAAGCTCACAAGCCATGTAATTCGATGTGCGATTGCCGCTCAAGGTAATATAGATGGGTGAATCTTCGCTGATATCTACATTCATGGCAACTTGTGGCTATGGAACTATCGAAGACTCGGCAACTGCGCACGGGAATACTCGGATCACTGGTGTCATAGCATTACTCATCTACCTCGGACTTCGTGGGAGTGGGGGTGTAAAGATGATGAGGCACAAAACACGTTTTCTCGATTTATACTCGTCATAATCGTCGCGCATCGCGAGTTTCAGTGTCATGTAAATGAACAATGTATTTTACACGCGTTGTATACGGACATGTGTCAGAAGGGACCAACATCGAACATGACGCAGTGCGGCGATTGCTCATTTTAAATAATGGTCAGGTAACATAATATACAAGATTAATATTCACTAAATAAAAGAGTAAATATGGGCTCTTCTTTGGAAGGATTACCAGATTTCCAGGGGCTATTTTGATATCGTCAGTGTTTTTATGTATGTGTATACAACATCCAAACTTATTTCACAAAAGGTTGTTCATTATATTATTGATACATGTGCAGATACTACTTAATTCTCATTGATGTATGAAATGATATGCATTTGGCTGCGAAGGTATCCTTCATTGCAATGTGTATATTCCTCCACGAAACTCTGTGGCGGCAAAGTAATACTTGACGCCCCCGAATAGAATTCAATTACAGTACTAGAAAATCCATTTTTAATTATTAATAACAGAACTGAAGGACGTTGACGTAATTATTATATGCGATTTAATTGCCAGAACTGTGGTGACCAATCAGACTATAGATGATGATGTCAATCATATTGTAAGTAACGCGAGATGGCTTTACCATCCCGTGATCATTCCCGCACATTGTTAACGTGTTACGTCATATTCAAAACAGAGATAGATAGGGTGTAAGGGTCTATCGACAAACAGACTACTAAACTTCTACCGATTATGCAGGAAAGGGATGAAAAGACTAATATAAATAATTTGACTGTTAATACAACTTGTGACGTAAACACATTTACAAAATGTATTTCGGTCTGCAGACTGAGGGATGTCACATGATTAACTGAGTACTCCGCACCCTGCAAAAAAAAAACAACCATCATGATTTGATTAGTAATGCTGAAATTATAGACATAACAGTTCACTGTCTGTGAAAGTCTAGGAAACACCAATTTAAATTAGATATTATACGCAAAATTGAAATTTGTGTCATCTCTTAGGCGTGTAAACTGTGGTAGAACCACAACCGATCGTCCGCATCTGGCCACTGTACTGTGAACAAACTAGATACATATCGTGAGTTAAAAACTACCTTTTTTAGGGAGAATTATTTCCCGCCAAGTTTGTTAGTTTGATGAAAACTCGTAGAAGGGAAACTCAGTTAATCCGCAGCGTATGTGTTCCATATGCCACGATAATTGAGATTTTCAGTAATGTGTATATTTTTTTTACATGTTCTATCTATTGCTATTATGTGTATTTGTGCAGCTTGTATGGGCATCTCGCAGTGGAATAGCTAATAAATACCCCAAAAACCCAAGACTGCTGCCATGCTGAAAACAAAACAAACCAATGAAAGGTTTGTCAATTTTTTGTGTCACATTTTCAGCCAAATTTGTATTCAGAACAGAAATATAACATTTATTGGTCAAATTATTTTTATTTAATGTGCTAACTTCCATGTAGTCAGAGCATTGAATTGATATTGTAAGTTTATATAAATATTATAATAAAGATTTTCCTGCATTATTCAGGATATTGTTGTACATACCATATGCTACCGTCCAGTTCTAGATAACCCTCACTTCATAGGAATGTATACACACTAATAACTGTCTCTTGGTGGCGCGTGTACGAGCTCGTGGTCATAAATTCAGCGGCCTCTGAAATAAGTGAGGGACAATACTCTACGTATTGTAAGATGAAAATAGGAATATAACAAAGCTTCTTTGTTTAGGTTATGGATAGAATAGAGGTCTGGGGACATTAACAGAGTGCCACAGCTGTTTATCGCGTTCGCGGTATTTTTTATGCAAACATGACGTCGCGTGTAATCACATTTCTATTGACACGCTGGATCGATACAACGAATAAACTGGTATGTATGTTTATCTTTCGGTGTGAAGTTGTATGTTATTTCAAGATTCTCAGGACGATGTAGTCTAAAGAAAGCTGGACGAAGTGGTTATTCGATAGATCGACAAGTGGTAAAATCGGTATTGTTCATGTTCAACCATAGAATCCAAATAATGTACAACAGATTTAATAAATTTCACAACAAAAATCTTAGCAAGTATGTGATATGGGTTTGCATAAGTGTCATGCGAAGTTTGAATGGAAGACAATTAATTAATGCCAATGACGCATATAAACGGCACAAATCGTTAGTTCTCGTCGTTCCAACGATAGAGGGCAGCAAACAAAATACTGTAAAATCATTGATTATTCATTTGGTTTTAATTTTGCTCTTACGCTGTTAAGTTAAATTAAAATTAAATTAAATTCACGTGAACATTTGAAATTACAATAGAACTTATTGTTTCACTGGAAAACCTGTGATTTTGAAAACCCGGTACGAGTGAATATGATTAAATAGTACTAGTAAATACCAGTTACAAATGAATGTTCTCACGGTACGTAACAGTTAATATTTACATTACCTAAATTCTTTTAGGATAACATGTGTTCGTTCAACATATTAAATTTCACTCTGATATTGTATATTATCATAATTAGAAAGCAAGCACATTTTGTCAAAGCGTTCGTCGGTCACGGTACAATGACTAAGTTCAGTTTGCGGGTGATCATGTCGTTTGCCCCGTTAAGAATTAATCTGACCGTTAAGCAATACATTTTTAAATAATAACACGTGTATAAGAGGTTAATGTCACAATGTTTGTACTAATTTTGATCTATGGCCTGATAAAGTTTGCAACTTGGAATTTATTTTCCATCCATAGACAACCTGATCAAATTGTGTGGATAACGTCACGGTGTGAGCAGAATTGAGTGCGACGGAGTCAAACAATTGTACCACACTGTGAACACTGGAAAGTTGCGCTGTACACGACTTAATTATTTGCTCTATGCATGGAGCTAAAAAAAAAGAATCTTTTTTTAGCTCGACAGCAAATGACGACCATGTGCAGCATCGATACATAGTTCTGAGAGTGACGTCAACCACGTAAACATTCAATTGGTATGAATAAGCCATGAAATATACATGTTGATGTCAATGACTTGTCTATGAGCTTCAACCAATCACATCGCGCGTAACAACAGTGAGATGAGATAAATTACATACTATATGAGTATGAATCTTTCTTGTTACGGTAGTGTAAATTATCGCCATTTCATAACAAAATACTACCAGTAGTATCACAAATGTCGACCGATTTAGCCTAAGGTATACAACAATTATTTATCACAGAATAGGTATATTATATGTACAGGTGTATACACCGCTCGACGTGCGAATGAGACGTGTTGGGAAATAATATCTGTTTGGGACGGGGTCCAAAAAAGCGTGGTTTCGAGCAAACTATATAAAGCACCATAATTTCACTTCTTGCGAAATCGTTGGGAGATCAAACAGACCGCACGAATACAACCATACGGTAAATGAAAGCGGCTTAACATATTTTAGTTGTCAACAAGCACACACCCTTAAAAAATACAGTTACGCCGACGCAAGTTGACAAGTCGGCGCAAGGACTCGTTCACGGTGTACAATGTTTCGCTTGCTCATATATTTTTTTGGTCTACTTTTACTTTTGTATATCATCGACGCCATCGAAGATCAACAATTGTCAACGCTTGACCAATAATATAAATTGAAAATCTCAAGCCTAACAACCAACACTGCATGAGAAATCGAAACATATTATGAAATAATTATTGAAATAAAACAATAAATCAAATAACACGGGAGATGTTCGATCAAAACAACCAAAATACTGTATGCAGGTATTGACCCTTTAAATGTCCGTTGAATTTATACATACTGGAAGTTACATTGTTGTCATAGCAACAGTCGGTCAGCAG